ATGTATGACTGGCACGCAGTCGACAGACGCCAACCTCGAAAAAGCCCCCCTGCTAACCTTCAGGACAGCCAAATAAGATAATGATACTGTTAGCGGGGGGGATGTAGTTTGTCCAATAGTAATTATAAGAATCCCATTGTTGTTACAACAACAACAACTAAGACACATGTGTGTGTATTCAGGATAGACAGAGGGTGTCGACATGCACGCGATTCATGAAGATGAGCCGGCTGTTGCAGTGGTGTAGGTAGGCCTGTGTGCACGTGCGAACAAAACTTGTCAAACTGGGCTTGACAGCAGATGGAACCTCCTATAAGTAAACAACTCTGTTAATGTGGGTGGCGGGATAACCAAGTTTCTCAGTCCCACCTTCATCCCCAGTGGAAAGAATGATAGTCGCCTCATACTCCGTGATGTGAGAACCGGTCAGGCACTTTCTCTTTCTTGCTCTTGGCTCGGATGGACCAAGAGTGTATAAACTAGTATTCAACTGGATATTTACTTTACGGGTATGGAAATTGTACACTGATGTGTGTTTCCCCAACTGCGAGGTGATAAATGATAGGAATTCCATCGGCAGGCATTGTCGGTTTGTGTACACTCAGTTTCCAGATTGCAGGATCATGTGGTGAAGTAGTTTCTATTCCAGTACCGCGCAGTGTGTTGACAATCCTTTTGAGCCGGGAAGACTGAGCCGTCATCCACGTAGGTGAAGCCTGATAAAGGGGAATGGAAACAATGTAAGCGCCCTAACATTTGCCAACATCTTTTGTTCTATTTGGAAACCGTGAGGTAAGATTGTCACGGGAGAAAAAGACCCATAGTTGAGGTTTCCTTCCCTGTCCGTAATATTTTTACAAATTCCTGTCTGTAAATGATTTCAGTTTTAACAGGAAAAGGGAAGTTATACGGATAATTTTCCATCGTCGATTTCACCTCGAACAAATGGACTCATATCTAAAGACGTGCCAGTAAGTGATAATGACCTGGTGCTCCATGGTTTCAACCCACCTCTGGTTCTCGGCTGTTCCAGTCTGGACTTAGAGAACATGGTTCTATCTTACCTCTTCGTCTGAGCTGAATGACAGTTTGTTGAAAATCATTACCCAAACTCGGCGTAACAGAATGCAATGATTGCTCCCAAATAAATCAGACAACTGGGGTCATTCCATCTCGTTTCGCGTGAATTTCCCAGGATACCTGACTATAAAACTTCTGCGGCTAGGTTTCACCTTATCATACTCATAAGATCCGTGTTGCCTTTCTTGGCGCTTATCGGATAGGTATAGCCCATGAGTTTCCATCATTCTTATGTCAGGCTTGAACAACAAAATTGCTAACGCTGTTTCTTTACTGAGGAATGGGGGGCACATTACAAATGTGCTTGAGAATCGTGACAAACTCTGAGGCGGTTTGTAACCTACTTCTCCTTTCCGGCCTCTCAGTCTGGCGAAACATACCAACCTTGCACTGGGACTCAGCTTTCCAGTAATCAAACTATCTCGAATGTTACTGAGATGTGACTAACACGCATTACGTCTTTTGTAGTGATGCAAAAATGAAACTCGTTACCTGTATAACAAAACATCCCTACATTCATTTAGATGCTGGAAGTTTCCGGTGGTTGTGCAAAGCCGTGCGAGTTCCGGAACCTCTGAATAACAGGTTCCTCGTGATTCTTTTGGACAGCTTGTTGATATTGAATGTGTTTCTAATGCAAACCTATCTCCTGTTTCTCACGTTATTCCTTTATTTGAGAGACACCGATCCCAGCTGGCTAAACTACAAGTGGACAGCTAAGAAAGCCAGATTTTCGGTCAGTAACAAGTGGAATCATACAAACTCGACTCCTGTAATTTAGGTGCATGTGTCAAGTTAATGGTCCCCGCTCATCTGCTCTCTGCATCCTTCGCCCTTATAGATTACAATTAATTATCAACCTCTAAGGATGTTTTGCCAAGCAAGACATAGCAGGTACTATGAATGCGACTATTCTGCAGTAAGAAAGGGAAATTATATATGGATTTTTCATGTAAGGTAAAACACTTACTGAAATAGCACAGAAGTACTGCATGGCTGTTTTTTCTTCTTGGATCTCACAAACAGTTGAGAGATTCTGACGCACAACCTTCTAGCTAGGAGTTCAGACACTGTACGGCTTATCAACAGGTGACCAATCGTCAGTTTTATCTCACTTGACGAATGAAATGTGGCTAGCGACTACACACACTGCAGTCACTTAGTTATTAGTTACTACCAGGCGACGTGGGGCAAAATGCTGTCATCGAAAGTAACCAGACTAATCATCAAACCAAATCATCAAAACCAAACTAGTTTGCAGATGAGTGTATATCCGCTAAGTTTGTGCAGTTTGGTTTCAAGTAGAACATAAGGTTGATGGAAACTCAGGGACTGCGCCTACCTGATGAGCCCCAAGAAGGGCGAAACCGGTCGTGAACTTTTGAGGAGTTTTCAGCAACCTTATGAGTGGTGCATTACAAAATAATCATCATGCTGTTCGCTTGGCCAGACGACTCGTAAATTCCAGAAGTTTCGCTGTTCATTTGGGCTGCTGGGCCATGGGTGCTCTAATTTGCCCGTTCAGGTATGTCAGCAGCCAAGCTGAATCCTTCATGACCACTTATGTATTGATACCTGCATAACCAGCGCTTTATGTTCTACCTTGATTTGTTTGAATGTATAGAACGATCGATTATTCTGATCGCCAAAAGCTCATAGTTTGTTGGGCCGCTTTTTCCTGTTTTCCGGTTGGCGTCACGTCCGATTTCTTGGAAAGAGCATTTCAACTGATCATACATGGTGCATGAGTGTGTACTAACCCAGCTGGCAGCGTAGAAAACCAATAATTTTATACATGCACTGCATCACTAGAGATCGTAGTTTGAAGGGTGACCGGGTTTTGCTTCACAAAGTGTCGGTTTGATAGTCCGAAATAGCTATGGATGGAAAACTTCGACGGAGACGTACGGTATTCCAAGTTAGAGGTGAATGGATCTAGTGTAAGTTGAACCTGCCTTGATACTCTGGGTTCAGAAGTACACATCTAGTGGGACAGGCGAGAAAAAGGCCCTCATGAATGCGACAAGTATAGCCTGAGCGGTCTCTAAATACGAAAGTTCAGTGGATGATCCTATCTTATGGTTGACTGCATATGTGCATTTTACTGGGAACGTTGTAAATTCAAGTGATTCACTGCTTTCGGCTGCCGTGAGGATTCTCAAAGGTGATGGTGGATTATCAGTTCTCTTTCATATTTACCGCAAGCGTTTACGAGTGCTGTTCATCTGTTGAGTGCATCGTATTGTTGCTTTTGTGGATTTTGTTCCGGACCTAAACAGATTGGTCCCCACTTTGTCCGCTGCGGACAGCTCCCTCAAAGTGGTACGGGTTTAGGTCGCTTTTTGGAAGCTTAGTTCTACGTCGGTAATCTTGTCGACTGATCCAAATCTTCAGATGCTCACGTGATAAACGGCAGCTTTTTCCTCTCCATGTTGAAATAAAAAAGGACCGGGAAAGTTATTACTCAACTAATACGTAGGGGTATAGAATAGTCGACCAATTATAGACTCACAGGACAGTTCGTGTACTCTTTCCTGAAGTCATTCACAAATCACCCCAGTTCAAGTTCGCGCATACCTGAGTCCTACCGATAGACGCAGAAAGGACTGTTCTGCCTAAGCACGCCCGTTCAGGCTTCAGATTTAGCTCGCTGACTATCCTCCGGCTTCACTCTTGAAACCAGGTATCAGGTAGGATAAGGACAAACGGATTTCTGACTAGTTAAACGTGGGAGAACACGAAAATATCTGCAGCTCAAACTTCTCTCACTCAGTTTAAAACACTGACTGTGTGTTCCCTATAGTGCATGACAACAAGAGATCGAATCCGGCTACGTTCACCTATGGGAAATTGTGACGACCAGCCGATTTGCCAAAACTGACTTATTAGATGATCTGTGTTTGCCACTTTATCGTAGATGAGGGGGATGCATCTGAAAGCAAACAATCAAGAGGCTCAAATGAGGGTGAATGAATGAATGACAAGTGACAGCAGATTAATTTTAAGACTATGCAGGCAGTCATACGGTATTCGCTTGAATTGATTGCATAATGCGGAAAGAATTGGACACTCACATCTCTAGCTGCATATGTGTCCACTCAAATTTAAGAACAATATGAAGTACAAACCAACAACATAACATACCTGTTCGATTTGAATAGCAGTAACTTCTCGCGTCACACTGGAGGCTGTTCGATCCTTCCCCTCGAATGGGGGACCCTTCTCCAGAAATAACCCCATTTTGACTGGGGTGCTTTCTGTTGGAGAGAGCCACCACACTTGCGTTCACACATTCTCGTCACATTTGGTCTCCCGACCTAACTGGGACTAACGTAAGGGGTGGTTTGTAACCACTCTTCGATTACCAATAGTCTCAAAAAAACTTACGCTACAGAAATCAGTTTTGAACTACGCAAATTTTAAGATGTGTGATTTTCGAAGGACACGCGAAATATGTGTGTGGTGTAAAGATGATCTCTTCGTTTACCTTATGCTATTGCGCACAATTCCAAACACTGGTCACATTTCGTTCTCTTTTCACTTTGTCCCTATGATTTACCTTTTGATGGCCAAACGGTTTTCAAACCGTAAAAATGAAGGCCCTGATTCACATATCAATATGTTACTGGTGTAAGTTTGGTGTAAGTTTTGGTTGACTGCTACCTCTAGGTGATTCCTTTGTAAGTAGTTATGGTACCACTCCAACTGGAAAATAATTGACGGACTTTGAACATGATGTCTGAAAGTAAATATATGATATATGATATATGATATATGAAAGTAAATCATATATTAGGCTAAATTTCTTTTTACATCCGATGGCAGGATCTACAGTGTTTACCATGAGGGAGCAACTTCGCGTGGTCAGATCTGCACCTAATGGGAGGATTTCAACTTTTTTACGGCATCAGTAAATGTAACTAGGTGAGGTTCCGTGGACTAGTTAGAATGATATCATCATTTGTAAACGGGAAACACAGCAATGCGTTCTGAAGGAATAAAAGAAGCAGTAGTAATTCGAATCTAGTTGTCAACCTGGTCAAAGTGTTCCGAATAGTGGCGCCGTGAATGTATTGTTTAAATGAGTGATTCCATTGCAGTGGTTCAGTCCTTCATACTTTTCTCTTCGGTTCTCCTTCGCTACTTATTTGGATACTGTTCATTGTGAATGCCGCGGAAAGTTTTGTGTTGGGAGAGTATCTTTCTACTAATAGAATTCCACTAAGTAATCGGCATGAAACCTAATCGGTTGCCTAGTTCCAGTGTGACCAGCCATGGACCCAATCATTTTTTAAGACCAAGACCACGAATGGACCAATCAGAACCGTGCGAACTTCGTGTTGAATTACGAGAGATGAGAGAATCAGGACTACCTCAGGTTTACTGAAAACTGTTTACGTAATGCACAAGTTTTGCCGTCATCGTACAGTTTTGGGTAGATTTAAAGTGCAGTGTTTACAAAGGCTCTCCGGTTAAAACGGGAAATTTCGAATTACACATACTCAATGCACACATAAGCAAAACCTGGACAGCAAGTGGATGACTGGTGTCTATGTATCAGTTAGCGGATCAGTGTGATATGAGTAGGAAATTGGACTAATGACAAGTTAACAGAGTGCTTTCATGAAGAAAAAAAACAAATTCGTCCGTTGAACCGAGTGAAATCTCAGCAACAATGAAAAACCTAGCGGATCAAAAGAATCTAACTCTTTAGCTGCAAGAGAATCTCAAAAATGAGAGATTTAGCTAGAATTCAGCTGAGTTTCTCATTGGTAGCGTGCAAATGGGTGTATTTTGCGAATTTCAAACAATCTGGGTTCAAGTAAAACGAAACTTTGACGGAAACCCGGGGACTCTGCTTACAGGCTGAGCCCCAAGAACGGCATCAAAGTTTCCAGCTACCTTATAAGCCGTCCGTTTCATTCAACTTACGTAAGCAATCCATTGCTGTCTGGAGATAACCCCATCCTCTGATTCAGCAGGCTTGTCATCTAAAACATGCCTCCATATAGTGAAGTTTTCCATCCCCGCTTTTTCTATGCATTTGTCGTTCGCCTTATTGTCTTCTGAATGCAGTTAAATACTAACGCTCGTAAAGTGACAGTGGTAAACTACGGTGGCTACGCCAAACGATCTTTCGGGGAACCTTGTTGACATCATCACCGATGTTGTCAGAAATGTTAGTATCGCACCATCATGAGTGCATGTAGTTGAGAAATCTAATGGCATGTGAAAATTAGAAGCCTCATATTCCCTGATCCCATTTGTCATAACTGTCGTCATCAGTCATGCGTAAATCGTTCACACTACAAACAATTTTAGAAACACCTGAAGACATCTGGAAGGAAGAAGGGGTCACGCCAGATTAGCACCAAGGTAAGATGTTTTGGGCCGATCACTTTTGCATACACAAAATGAAAATTAGCCCAAAGATCTGTGCTTCGCTGAATGGTAGTTTCTCGGGGCGAAGTGTTCGTGACAAAAGTGTAGGGCTTCAACGCAATGGCCTACAGTCAGCAAGCGACTGCGCTCTATGATCCTGGGTTTCGGGTTTTCGGCTAACCATTAGCTGACTATTTCATGGAGCACATAGGATATTTGGGGAAGTGTAGAGAGGTTTTGACGGGCGACGGTCTGTTTTGCCGACATAATTGTTGCCCAAACTGTAAGAGATCTGAAAAATGTCATGGGCCACAGAAAGACTGTTCCTTTGAGGCTGGCTGTTTTAGTCTCGTAAGGAAAGTTGGACTAATTTACTCTCGGTCGTTTGGCCGGAAAAGTGTGCTCAAGAGTGGCTGCTGGTTACTGGAACTAAACAACGGGAGTTGCAGCCATTTAGAGAGATACCAACTGAAAAGGGCGAGGTTCAGAGGCGAGTACCGTGAAACCCAAGCGAGACATGAGGTACTGTTGTGCGTGCCAAAAGAGGTATACCTCGCCCCACCTTTCAGGTCGGATGACATAGCACTCCCTGTCTGAAGCTTTCAAAATGCATCTGTCAAAGAAACGTGCAACACTGACTGCGAGTAATGTTTGCCATCCTTTTGCAGTCCGCTAAAGGAGGTAGCCATATCCAGACTTATCTATGAATTTGAACGCATCTGCTGCACCCGGTAAGCTGATGAGCAACCAGAGTCATGTAGCACGTCCAAAAAGACCTCAGAAAATTGAATGTGTGTCCAAAACCCGTCATCTCTGAACATGCTGGCCATTGACCACTGACTAAATGACCGCTTTTACAGTCTTTTATGTGTCAGAGTACAAGCACAGATCCTGACGGAGGTACATCATTTTAACCCTCTTTTATATTCGCAAAAGTAGCTGTTGACGAAATTTGCAACAGTTTGGTAGACTAGAAGATTTCTTCCCATTTATCGATATGAATGCGTAGTATCGCCCCTGCACGTAAGTACATTTTGAGAGCAGCTACTCTGATCTAATTTCCGATCCATTTTTATTCACAATTATCTGGTGCGATCAGTGGTTTACCCTGACTGTTTTGAGCGCTCAGATTAGCCATCTTGCGTGAACTGGGTTACAGAACCATCGAGAATTCCAACCGTCATTTTTTAAAAATGTAGCGTCGTAAAAGTAAGCGCTTAGTCGCTTTCGCAATGTCTGTTCGCAGGCCACATTATCCCCTCATTTTGGAACTAGTCTCGGGAATTTTCATGAAGGAAACTACTCACACGGTTGCTGAAAACTCTTCGACAGCCCACAACCGGTTTCGCCTTTCTTGGGGCTCATCACTCAGGCGCAGTCGCCGTCAACCTTATGATCTACTTGAACCCAAATTAGGCTGTTTTCGAGAAATGCACTCATTTGCAAATCAATTTGGTTCTCACGAGAGACTCCAGTGAATCTCTCGTTTATGATATTCTACAACTGAATGTGCTGCACACAGGCCGCCTCATGATTCAGTTGGCACGATATTCGAGATATCTCGGTATATTTTCATAAAGGAAACTACTCACTTTTATAAACACTTTCTTGAAGGTATACTCTTGAAATTGTGCGGTCCAAACCTCTCTTCCAAACTGCACATTACTTCATCAGAAACGGACTGGAACTTATCTGTGTGTGCACGTGTGTGATACGCAGCACTGTCCATGTTAGCTTAAATAGTAAGGCACTTCTGCAAGCAAGAGGTCGCGGGTTCGATTCTTATGCAGTGGCATTTGCTCTTTGGTATGTGATGTGTGTTCCCATTGATGTTCATGCCTAGCATTTGATAATTTGTTGTGTGTGAACAAAAGGACTGACGGCTGGAGGTTAGGGACGATGCTGGTTTATCGGTGGATCAGGATGAGATTGTATCTCAAGTGGGTAATCTAAGCGAAAAGACGCCTACCAATCCCCTCATCCGGGCGTCTTGGATGGTTGCTGTTTGATTCTGTTCGGAACCTGAATCGATTGGGGCACCCATGGTTTCGAAAAAGACGGAGGGTTCTACACAGACTTCCAAAGGTTGAGGCTTGGTGCGAAACCATAGCGAATGAATGGCTGTCGGGCACACCAAGTGTGAACACGTTCGCCTGTTCAGACGTGATAATACAGATGCGCCCAACGTGCGTTGGTGGAGTGGTGGTTACACTACACGCTCACATGTCAGATGCTGAGGTTCAAATCCCGGCACGGCCATTGGATATGTACTGCTGATTCGCTCTAATAAGAGCGAAACTCGAGTCCAGTGATTCTGTTTGGTGTGGATTCACCGGACCAGGCACGCCAGAACAGGAGGATGGTCGTTCAAACGAGAATGGTGTGGCTACGAACATAACACATTCCTGCAACTATTCCCCTGATAGCGGAATTCTCTACCCAACTCTATCTTACACGTCATGTAAAAGATAACGAATTACTTGGCTAGACAACACACCTTGGGCCAAGTCAGTTGGCCACACCTTGAACGTCCCAAGCTCAGGCAAAGTGGAGAAACCACAAGAGTCATCAACAAAGTGAACCAACCAATGAACCAAAATTTACCGTTGCTATGGGCCCTATTCTAATGGGTCTTGATTAATCAGATAAAATATATAGACAATTCTGGAAAAGATCCTAGGAGAAGCGAATGAATGAAAATATTTTGAATGGCCCGCTTGTACCCAACCAGCTAAAATCTCGGTTTATTAAAGGGCTTTTATCACTCAGAGAGTATTCAGTAAGTTGTCTCGGTGTCCAGTTTGGTTTTGGAAAATCTGGATGTTCCCTAAAAAACTGTATAGGGGCGAGACCGTGTTGCTACAACATAAAATATAAACAATACATACATGATATACATCAAATAAATGGTGAAAAATGGCGTATCAACAGCAATAACATAAGAATGATTATATACCCACATAAATAAATAATAGGACAGTGCAACAACCAAAGCGGGAGATTATTGATTCGGCAAATCGTGTAAGAAAAAGCAAGAATTTCTACGTTTTTTGACTTGGTATCGCGAAAGTGTGATACACTCTTTAGTTTCAAGGACACACGAAAGGGTAATATCAACAAGGCTTTATCCGTACACTTGTGAGTGTGCTTGGCTCTAAACCACGGCAGATGATGCCTGGTACTGTGATCAAGATGGCATACCCGTGTGCATCCAAATTATTGTGATACCGCTTACTTATTTAAGGCTGCAGTCAAATCTGTTTATTTATCATGCAACAATCAAATCTACTTCCGGACATTCTAAATTAATGACATACAGACGCGCTCGGCTTACTTCACAACAAATCAGTTCAGCTAACCATACCACAAACAGTTTGAATGCTCACGGTCTGCAGTAATCTTATCTGTCAGCGACATGCAGAGTTGTTTGGGCAGTGCATAAATAACAGTTTGAGCCGCCTCTGTGATATCACCTGCTGCTACGTTTGGTTCGCTGTAGTGCGTGCAACGGTTGAAGCGAGCAGGCATGTGTCAAAACTGCGGAGTTGATTAATTTATTTTAACGCAGGTATGCACTCACGTGCAGTAGTGTAAGTTCGTAGCTGAA